CATCTTTATAGCCGTAAAGCACCATTTATATAAAATGTATCCGAATGACAAAGTGATAATGGTATCAGTTCTTAAATTTATTACCTTTCGTATGAGAATTATGCGAGTTGGGATATTTTCGGATTCGAAAAGGAAATACTTCCTATATTTCGTTCATGGGGAATGTGGCGTAAACAGCTTGCCGTGGTGTGAGGACACCGGTTACATAGGAATATTAGTTTTATGTAGGTCAGCCACTTTTAACACATATACGGCCGAGTACTGAAAGGCAGGGATGATAGGGAGCTCCGTAATCGTAACGGAAACTATCGGGTATCCAATATAAAAATATATCCGCAACCGAATCCGAAATAAAAGTTTCGGATACTATCGGATGGGGCTTGACGTATAAACGAAACCATTATATTAGCTATTTGTATTTTACTTTTGAAATTCCTTAAAATTATAATATCCGTAACCGAAACTAACGCATAAACTAAAATAATTTCGTATCCGTATCCGTATCCGTAACCGTATCCAGTATAATAATCTTTTATTCTTTCTTCTTCTTCTTCTTTTATTTTTCTTTTATTATTTCTATATCTGTATCTATTCCGTATCCAAAATTTCATATCCATAACATCCCTGCTGAAAAGCTAATCAATTTTAAGTTGTACTTAAATATCGTGCCATCTCTGTCATTTTACAAAGAATTCGTAGTGACAGAACTATACTTAAGTGCGACTTCAAATTAAGTAATCATTCAGTATTCGGGCGATAGTTCTATTCTCCGTTATGTAACTAAGAACATTGAAGGTAGACATTTATGATTAATAGTACTTTCTATACGTATCTAGGCACTAATCTAGGGCTCAAATTCAAGATAACTGGATCTTAGTCGCTTGTCACGAATTAACTCATTGTCTAAAATCAACACTTTAAAACAATGTAGGTCCGAAATCAACCCGCAATTTATGTCATAAGCCCTTGTCATAAGCCTTAAAACGAATTAAGGGAACAAACTCCATCACCGGATCGGTAACGATGCCCTGTGCTTGGTAAGTAATTAAATTTTAACCAGAATTATACCTGGCTGAACGTTCCCAAGATTTCGAGCACCACTTAATGCGAACGGCGTTAACGCCAGATGCCAGCCATTATTTCATTTTATCGAAGATATTTTTGAAAGAAGACCCTTTTTAATTAGATATTAGGGTAAAGACTTAGCTGCTTCCCTATTGTTATTTCACCAAAATTAGGTCAATGCAAATTGACTGTTTGGTAGAGTGGCCGGTAGTAAGTATATACATGCAACTGTGGCGACACACGTCACATGTCAAATAACAGCTCACGTACATAGACCATTGATGGAAACAAACAGATGACGTCATAAAATTCTGCGTTGTACTTGTGAAGTTTACATGTGAATTAACACCGATAGAAAATCTCAACGAACAACTGTTGGGCAGAAAGCCCGCCAGGCACGATCACCTCGCCTGGTCGGAGGATCCTCCTTTTCCAATCTTAGGGAACTTTACTCTCTGTTCCCTGAACAACTATGATGTAGTAGATATTATTGAAATTGAAATTATGCCCTTATAAATAAACTAGCTTCTGTCCGTGGCATCGCCCGCGGGATAAAAGTAGCCTATGTGTTATAATAGCCTGTTGGTCCAGATCAAAATTTATATCTGTTCCAAATTTCAACCAGGTCCCGTCACCCGTTTTGCCGTGATTGAGTAATAAACATACACACAAACCCACAAAATTTTGCATTTATAATAATTGTAACATGTTGGAAACTAATGTAGCTTTTCAAATATACAAAAGAAATGCAAAAATCATCATATTTATATCATATTGCACTTTACTTAAAATGTATGTAGATACATACATAGATAATACAAAACTCGTTGAACGTAGAACATTGGCTACGAGAGCTACGAAGTGTCTACGGCTACGACACGGACTACGAGTTACCAGGAAAACATGTAAATCGCTGTTTTAGCATACAACATTTTCTAAGAAACTTCCTTATGCATATATAAGTCAAATAAGTCAGTTTTATATCAAAATATTCGTCTTTTGAAATAAATTGACATAATAATATAATAATAAGTAGATTGACGAAGTAGAAGTACATTATTTTTGTATTAAGAGTACGATTAATATTTTAAGTATTAATGGTACTCTTTTTTTATTTTATTTTTGCCTATTTATGCCACTTATACACTTATACATTCATGCCGGCTTCTACATTGCTGTCATGCCTAGTACTAGCGCTTAGAATGAGAATGGAAAACGTCCAGTCCAAATGGACGTTAAATATAATAACTCCCAGTTATAAATACGAGTAGGCGGTGTTTAAGTGAGCTCAATAAAATTGTTCGAACTTTGACTTGTATGTATGTAGGTGGGTATGTTTGTCCGCGATTATACCTACTTAGAGGCAGGTTTTAATATATGAACCATATTCAATGAGAAAGGATTACCTAAGTTAAAGGTATTTTAACATGGTTTGATTATAAAGCAGCTTAGAACACATAATGTCCACTCGGGAAGTCCTCGACAGGCGTCAGAGGCACAATTTTCGCAATAAAAACGTACACATGTTATATAAGTCCAATTCACTAATACCCATACGTAGGTACATTCGTCGCAGACCTATTTCAGAAACAGTAAAGTTTATCACCTTATACCATAAACGGAGTATTGGACTTGTTAATCCAACATGCCCACTAGTCCAGATACGTATACTATCTTCTATTGAATGAGTGTTTGCGAATAACCGGAGAGCGGTACGGCATTCTGATTTTCCCGACTTAATAAAGAGTACCTAAAATGTGTTAAGTTTTACTTTATTATTATTACTCTTTATTTATTTTATCGTTTTGCTTTGAAGGAACACAGATTCTACTTGCATAGGTACTTTCGACAGCCAGGCTATAATACCAACTATTATATAAAAATTAAGATAAAATTATTAAGTACCTATGTAGGTACCAGAAACCGAAAACCATACTTGTCTATTCTTACATGGACCTTTTGTACTTAAATATCGTAGCACGGCCCCAGAAATAGATCCTCAACCAGAGTATTTGAATAGAATGCTCATATTTTGGAATTTAATTAAGTCAAAGTATTCATTTTGTCTTAATTACCTAAACTTATTTATAGAACCTCTGTTAGCTTCAATTAAATGAAAGTGGTGAGTGTAACATCTTCGATACAAATATAGCTATCATTGTTTTCCTATATCTATAATTATGTATAAGTGAGTCCCTAAGTACCCTATCTACGTAGCGACGAATAAACTGCGACGCCTATTACCTTACATCGTTCCATAAATTTTAGGTCCTAACCACATCATACACGGCCGTACGTACTAACAAGCTACTTTCTTCCCTACGCCACAGATATAACAATCATGAGAATTACGAAATATAACCCCTCATAGACCTGAAAGTAGACATAAAATGTTTGGCCAGCAAATATACGCCATGTTGGTTTTACACGACTTTCTGAACGCACAATATTGGATCAAATTATTTCAAAAATAAAACTAACCAGTATTTTGAAATGTCCATTTAATAAAAGTGTCAACATTTTAGGTCAAACAGCCATGTTTATACAAGATGACTACAAAAACTATGATAAGTACTTAAAATAAACATACCTACATTTATTTAAATATCTCTTGGTCTTGTACTAACATTCTCATAAAAATAATACTTTAAACAGTATTTAGAAATACTGATATCCGTATCTTTAAACGTCATTTCAGATTAGCACAATGTCTCCAACTGTTTCAGAACAAAACTAACCAGTTTTTAGAAGTTCCGGTACAGCTGTACAAAATTTCAAATTTTCAGATTTGTTTAGGCTAGGAGAGGAGTTTGCTCTCAAATATTTAGATACTTTAAAATGTTACTTACCTCATAATATTTTAGTCTTGTATCTAAGGCCGAAATCGAGTCTCACCCACGCCACCCATCCATCAAGTAACAACAACAACAAAAATATTTCTTTCTAAAAAATGTTTACTTTATGATGGATCTTCTTTTATTAATTACCTTGTGTAAATTCTTCGTTTTTAATAACATGATTACAAAGTTTATTCTTTGTGTTTAAATTACCTTAATGTGTACGGTGTTACTAAGAAAAATGCTTTCATAAATAGTTAGGTAGAGGTATTTGAAACTTCAGTTTCGCGCACTCCATTTAAATACGTCACCAGGGTATACTTTCAGAATATCTTCAGTACTTAGCTACAAAAAGTTTGGTTTGTTAGCTTTTAAAATAAATAACTTAGAAGTAGTACTACCGTGATAAGTACCTACCTACATACGTAGTGGCGTCATTAATGGATGTGCCACAAATGCGACTTCCGAAAATAAATATTCAGTTTTTATATCTGGGTAATGTAAAATTAAGTGATTCTACCAGTGCCTTGGCATAACATAATTAACTAGATACTCTAAAAGCTTGGCAATAAAGAGTTTATCATAATTGAGATTGCTAGTATCGTACTTGTGGCAATCTGTTATGCTATTTGTCCTTTTTATCGAGTTTAAAAAGAAGAGGTAGTATGGTCGGATAATTGTGTATTCATGGGGTATGGTCCGAAGTGGGTGATCCAGCCCAAATCAATATTAGTTCCAGCTGTCACTGCGCCAAACTCTATTGTTCCAAGCTTCTGCCAACCCTAAATTAGAAACATATTGAACTAAAATTATATAAGCAAAGACTGAAATATTTTAATTAAAAAATTATTCTTCCTCTCTCTCTTTCGCAGGTAGAGAATTGTAAATTAAAAGCTTAAAAGAACTATATCCAAATCCTATGCGACTTATAGAAATGAAAGCCGTCAAAGTAGGAAATGTCATTGTCACAATTATTTACTTTCTGAAATATGATACACGGAGATGTAAAATAAACTAGTTTTTACGATTTCTATTAGAAATTTATTTTTTAAACTCTGTCTTCCAATGTTAAATTTAAGTTATGATTAAGAATACATAATGATAAACTATGACGTAAAATTCCTGACATGTGATGACACGGTACACATCAAAAACAACGACTTTAAAAGTTTCAAGTAAGTTTCCAAAACTTTTAATCGAACAGTAAATAATATTTTTTTCAATATGAAAGAACGTATCGTTGATTTAAAAAATATTGTGTATATTAAACGCGAAACTTTACTACTTTTATTCAAAGAATATTAATACTTTCATTCACACAATAATTATTACAAAATGTTTACACTGCTCTCGAGTAAAAATAATGAATAACCTACTTGCTTACAGATATGAAACTAAGAAAAGAGTAGATGAGACGATTTATGATTCTGGTAAACGCAGCTATTGTGAAAAACGGGGTAGTGTGTGGCGGGCCGCGCACCCTCGCCAAGTGCGTCAATTGGAGTCCAAACTTAGAGACAGGAGCATCATCACCTGTGAATGGACCACCGACACCCTGATCACCTTAGTCTTCTCTTCAGGAGTTATAGCCTACCTCACTGTGAAACAAAACACTCTCGATGTCTCTCAAATACTTTTTGACAGATATTTTGTGGGAAAACTCTCCGGACAGTCCATCACCAATGGTATGTTTTATATACTCAAAAACGTTACCTAATAAAACATTATTGTCTGATTCTGAGCAAGTTTTATAAAATGTTATTGTATGTTTAATTTTACTTATGTCTTCTACTAAATAAAAACCAAAAGAACCTATGTGCTAAGTAATTTCAAGTTCAAATTCTAATTCTTTCTGATAAAATTGATTATAGAATATGGTAAAATGTTAATCTATTAAAGTAATATTTTAATTTGCAACTATTAATTAATAATTAAATTTTTGTTCTATACAGTGGCACTATCAAAGTCTTACATATTAGTAACACACAGTGATCGCACAGCAACCCTAGTGACATTTGGCAAAAAGAACAACAGTCTCCCGTGTCGGATCACTGACAGAGACCCACATGTACAGGTGAGTTTCTCTAAAATGAGTAATATAATATTACATGCTTAAGAATCAGGTACAAGTTAACAGATTAAAAATATCATTGTAACTTGCAAACTATTTTTTACAAACTTCAACAAAGGAGGAGGTACTATGTTTGGGTTTTTGTTTGTGTAACTAGTGAGTTAAGTCTATATTTGTGAGGCCTAGTATCAGATGCAAGGAAGGTAATTTGAATCTTACCAACGCAATAAAACATTACCTATTCCTAAAATAAACTAAAATCCACATCAAGGTTGCAATTACTAAATTAACTAGGAAATTGAAAATGTATAAAAAATAATCTAGAAAAGTTAATAAATATTCTTCTATTTCAGAACATAGAACTAGGGGGCAGTAGTCGTAGAACAGAAAGGCACATATCAAGCAATGAAGGTGCTAATGGGGCGCGGGTACTCGTGTGGAGCGTCACTGTCGCGGAGCCAGCGCCCTGGAGCCCCGTGCTGGAAGACCATGCTAACCTACATCTGTATACAATTAATGGGTATACTTGTCCTCTGTCTGATATAATGAATGTCCACTCATCACTTACTATCAAGTGATCCACCTGCTTGTTGTATGTTTCATTACAAGGTTTGAATAAAAATTCTTGCACATTGTTTAAACTAATACATTAATTTGATAACATTTGTATATTACAGGAATAACATCAATCTCACAGCATATCACCAATTGGAGAATGAAACTTTGTCTGCAGAGCTATCCAATAAGGGAGAAAATGTGGTTCATATTGTAGAACAAGTTACATGTCATAAGGTAATTAAAAATCATAACCAACCTTTTTCCGTGTGGGTACCTATATTCAGGAGGATATTTAAAATAATACGACATATTCTCAATTCTAATTTTAATTCAGTTTTGTTCACGTAACAATCTGAAAAGACTTGACTGTTGATGAAGCAAAGAGATATGTTACAATCGTAACAATTGATGTTCCATAGTGTCTGCTTACCCCCATGTATACGTTTTAGAAAGAAAGAAAGAAAAAATATTTATTTACCAATAGGCATGATACATACAAATACATAAACAGTAGATCAAAAACAATAAAAAACAACAACAATGCAAATGTATAAAAATTATTAAAAAGAACAACTCAGTATGAGCTGGTCTATTTTACAAAAAACAAAGTCACAAGCAATAAGCTAATAGCTATTATAATGCTTACAATCTATGTAAGTACTTTGATACTACAACACTATTTTCTTGCTATTTCAGAATGGTGTCAACTTAGACTGGCTACGATATGAAGTGAGTCCCGAAGATCGTGCGACCAAATTATCGAGTGGCCGCGACAGTGCGACACATGTGTCGTTGTCTACAGCCGTGCGGGTCGTACGACGGTCTCCCTGCGACACGCGACTATTAATCGCATGTATCGACGGCTCATTACATGTCGTGCATTGTGTAGCTGGCCTTACACATACTACTAGAGCTGGATTTGTAAGTTTATTCTCAGTAGTAAGTTAACATTTGTGAATCCCTAACTATACCTTGAGAATTAATTAATACTGCATAGTATAAACTTGTCCCAAGTAATATTAACAATGCAAAAATAAGTTCCTAAATAAGCTGTTAGTTTGTCTTTTCACTTTATCTTCAAATAATCTTTAAAGTATTTTTAAATTTACTATGCAGTTTTTTTGTGAGATAAGGCGGTAAACGAGTAGACGGAGCACCTGATGGAGCGCCTAGGCGTATCGACAGACGCAGTTGCCATATTAAATTAGAAAAGAGGTCACCCGTAAGGAGCGGCTAAACCCAGACAAGTGCATTACCTTTTAGGGATTAGGATTTTGAGGATTGTGAGGGATTTGAGGATTGGATTGGACTTGATTTTTGAGTCACCATCTGTGTTTAAAAATTAATTTAAATGTATATTGTTGTGGGCAGATAGCGACAGAGGTCCGATGGGCAGACGAGCTGATCATAGCGGCAGAAGAAGGCGGGAGATTACAGTGCTTTGACCGCGCCCTCTCTCTACTGCACCACCACTCTAAATGCTTGGAACTCACTTCATACTTTCGGTGAGTTACGTAACCTGTAAAACATTTTTTAATAGATTTTGAACCTTAACATTTTACAATATAGTTGAAAATCTATACGATCTTTGAAGACTTCTTTAGCTTCTATCACATTAATGGATCTGATTTTATAAACACTCCCGTCTAGTATACTATGCAACTAACTTTTGGGTCCATTTGAAGCATGTATTTTGATTCGTTCTTTTTACCAGGGAATCTCGACGGATGCATTTACTAGCTTCAAGGACTGCTAAAGGCGGTCCCATACTACTTGCGAATTTCTCTGGCGGGCCACTCACTCTTTTACACATTATGCATCCAAAACTATTAACGGTGAGTAACAAGTCATACTTCAAAAAGTATTTCTTCTAAAATAAAAAAAGTTGCATAATGGACACAAGTATTATAGGTAGTCAGTGGATGTATCTCTGTACTTATGTTATTAAATAGATACACTTTAGTGCTTTGAGTCCATAGCCTGATATGCACATAGCTTCTTAAAATCATGTCTCTCATGTCTCTCTTAAAATTTAATAATAATAATCGTACTGTGGTCGTGGTGGCCCGGAGGTTTAAGACGCCTGCTTCTCATGCATGAGGGTGCGGGTTCGAAACCTACCAACGGCAAGTACCAATGTGACTTTTTCAGAGTTATATGTACTTTCTATGATTATCTAGACACCACTGACAAACGGTGAAGGAAAACATCGTGAGGAAACGTGGACTTATAATTTGTAATTATAAGTTTGTAATCGCCAACCCGCATTGAGCAAGCGTGGTGATTAATGCTCAAACCTTCTCCGTGTGGGAAGAGGCTTTGCTCAGCAGTGGGCATTTATAGGCTGTTGATGATGAACTGTAAAACTTCTTGGAAGTTGTTCAGGCTAATGATCTTAAGACTGTTTGTCAACAATTTATTTCCGCAGGCATGGATCCGTAACAAGCGTCCATCGCACGCAGTGTCGTTGCTCCGCGCCATGGACTGGGAGCGCGAGGGCACGGAGTGTCTGTGGGCTGTCAACATGCTCGTCTGTGCTGCCTTGAGGAACAAAACTGGTTTGTTTTTGTATATTACAGATTTTATATTTACAACTGCATTTTTGACCCTTGATTACACAAATGACGCCAATAACCCGGTAAAAATATTTACATTATGTTCAGGAGATGCTGTTTCATAACTATAAGTTTAAATTAATACACGATTTTGGGGGCCAAGGGTTTCATTTATTAAATACTGCCAAGCAGTTTCATCTATTAAATACAATGTCAAAATCGTAACAACGTAAAACAAAAATTTACTTCTATGGCTTGTGTTTAAAATAGTTTGATTTGTTTTTACTAAAGCGACGCTATAAGTGTTACTAAGGCTAGAAAGAAACTTTTGAAATTGATATTTTCGCTGTAGCCAGGCAGGCAGGAAATGTCAGCCAATGAATATATTGTAAGTTTACGAAAAAAAATGATTTGTCGTTATGATTTATAGAGGCAGGTAGCAGTGAGGCAGTAGCCCAGGGTGCGCTGGGCGCGTTCCTCAGTCCGGCCGCGCCGCACCCGGCCGCCGCCGCGCCCTACCATCCCCCTGTACACGACCTCGCCAGGAAGTTCTTCCATCATTTACTACGGTACCTACTTATGTTTATTTAATCTTTATTTACAGTTATTAAATTTATTAAAACTAAAATCGAGATTTCATAAGATTACCAAACTACTCCAACATAAAATAAAATTATTAACATTATTTTTTACTTTTAGTCATGGTCGATCCACTTGCAGGGCAAAGGCCTACTTACCCTCCTTCCACTCATCTCTTCTTACAGCTTTCTGTGACCAATCCTTTCATAGGCGTCCAGTTCATCCCGCCATCTCCTTCTGGGCCTACCACGACGTCTATTGACGTTCAGTGGACTCCCCTCCGTAGTGAGTTTGGACTCGAATCGTCTGACATGCGACAGACATAACCAACCCAGGTCCACTTTAAGCTTGCGGCTTTATAACGGAAGTCAGCGATTTGAGTTTTGGAGCGCAGTATGGAGTTTCTTATTCTGTCTAATAAATAATTGCACACCTAAAATACTGCGCTCCATATCGGAGCCTAAACAAGTTTCGAGCATCCCTAAAATATTTAGTTCACATGAGTATTTAAATACTATTTAAGTTGTTATGCAAGAAAAATTTGTACCTTTGCAGTCGCGGTCGTATAGAGAAGGCACTGAGCCTGGCCGTGGACCTGTCGTGCTGGGACCTGTTCAGTGACGCGCGCTGGGCCGCCGCCCGCCGCGCGCTGTCTGCACTCGCTACTGAGGCTGCTTCACTCGCACTGCATTATGCTGACCTAGACCATGGTTAGTTCATATATTATTCTCTAAAATATGTACCTCAGTTTAATGTCTTACTTCATTATCCGCGTAATTCTACCCTCTACTATACGGACGGACAAAAGCCTCTTTAGACGAACATAATACAAAAAAAAAGTATTTTTTAACTTTCTCTTAATTACGACTTAATACAAATGAATGCTTTTTCTTTCCCCATTTGAGTTTACTAACGGAATATTTCTACCAATTTCAGGATCAGAATGTTCAGAATCGTGTTCGAGCTGCAGTTCTCACTCTTACACCGGATCTGAAGAGGAACCGAGTGTGACGTCAGAGCTTGTCAAAACAAAACCACCGCCATTACCTCGCGTTTCAATACCTAACCATCCCACACTCATGCAGGTGCCAATCACACACACAGAGACCATGTCCACCAATAGCATACGACCAAACCTCCATCAGTATTTAGAAAGAGACAACACTATATGGACCACAGACGTACGCGACGATACTTACTCAAGAACTCAATACGATGATTATACAAAACCTATACGGAACTCGCAGAACGTACGATGGCATAGTATGGACGTACTATCAAACTATAATAGTTCTAAACACAAACTATTGACTATAAACGAGGCTCCCGTCAAACCAACTCACGCAGTTTTAGACTTACTACCTCGGCAACATGACGACAGATTATCAACCACTCACTACAAACACTTATACCAAACTGAACTAAGAGAGGAAACTCCGAACACCCTGTATCGTTACCAAAATAATAATAATTACCATCCTAGTACGAGCTTGAAAGAGAGAACGTATAGAATTGATACTGATTCAGAAAAGCAAGGAAATCGGACCGGAGAAAGGAATAAAGTTAAATTCTCAGATACCGTTACCATAGCTGTAGTTTCAGTAAGTACTTAACAACTACTAATAAAGGAAATTGTGTTGTCTACCAGCCAAAATCGATACTTTCATGATGATAAACTATCAACTTATTTGTCAATAAATAACAGAGAGTGGGCCCTATTTCACAAACCGAATATTTTCATACAGGAACCGCGCGTATCCCCGGAGCCAGCCCGCGAGTTAGCGGCCAGTCTCCCTCTGTGCCCCCCCCACAAGTACCTGTCCGCGTTCACCCCGCAGCAGGCCGCGCCCGCGCCCGCCGCCGCCCCCGCCGGTACTACGCTCGACTACGTTGAAGTGTGATGCACGCACGCATGCTATCATATGCACCTCACTTCACACACGATACACGACCAAACCATCAATGCAACTTCATTTATGTGTTAAGTTTATTAATCTCGCTTATAGTCATAGATCTGCTTCTTGTATGAACTTTACACACCGTTGTTGTTTGTTTATGTTTACTAATTGTGCCATTTCAATATCGAGTTGTGACTGCAATGAATTTGAATTATTTTAGAAACTACCTACTGCATGTTTTGTGTTTTCACCATCAAAGCATGTCAATGCGCACTGGCAATCACTTGTGCATTTAAAAACAAATTAATGAATTAAAACTCATTTGTACAAAAATCCTGTTTTCAGAAAACGCAACGCAAAAGCCGCCGAAAATCAAAGTTGTACATTTCGGCATGGTATAGAGAGACTGCAATACATTTCATTTTATTGCGACATAGTGCAATGTGTAGTGATATAAGAATCCGTCCAGATTTAGATGTAAGCTGTTTAATGTATATAAAAATAGGTAATGTAATTGTTTATTATCTTTTATGTTTATTGTTTGAAGGATTCAGTACACTGAATTTATAGCAAATGTATAGATCTGAAGTCCCTCCCTTTTTTGTATTTTGTGTCCAAAGCCCTAAGAAAATGTAATCCTGGTGGCACCTGTAGAGAACAACGAATGATATGACACTCCAACAGCACAAAACCTGGTCTAGTGACCTATCTACAGTGGCACTTACCGCGTTTTACTATTTTCAAAATGGACAAAATTGCGGGTCTAATAGACAGTTGTTTAAAGTGCATTTATGGTTGTGACTGACTCCTACTAAAATCAAATTTTATAATAGAAGTAAATTTTTTGATGCATTTATTACATTATTTACTAACAAATAAAAATTATACAATTTTATATTTGAATATATTGTCTTTTATTTAACCGCCTGCCATCATTCAAAAACGAGATTCCTAGTAAGAGTACATTATGTTAGATTTTGAGCTAAATCGAGGTATAAAGTGGAAGTGACCACACAACATCTTTATATGTTCTGTAGAAGTGACCTGCCATTGCAGCTGTAAGTCCCCTCTTTGAGGAGTAGTTTGAGAGACGCCGTAGCGTCCTCACCTACCGCCTGCCGCAGGTCCTCACCGGACATGGAAGTTTCGGGAGGTACCTGTGTCTGATGGGGCGGGAGGAAACGCCCGGGTGTCATCACTGCGAGGATTGCCTTGAGGACACGGTGGAACACACAATGAGGGAATGCCCTGCGTGGGCTGAGCACCGCCGTGCCCTCAGGGACGTGTTCGGCGATGGCGACCTCTCGCGTCCGTCCCTAGTTCGGGTCATGATGCGGAGCGAGGGGGACTGGGATGCCGTCTCCTCCTTTTGCGAAGCAGTCATGCTAGCTAAGGAGGAGGTGGGACGCGTGAGGCAACGAAACGCTGCCTCCTCGCAACCCAGCCATCGCGAAGGACACTTCAGGTGTCGGGGATCGCGGGACGATCTCCGGCCACAATAAGCGCGGGCCTGCGGGCGGCGAGCATGGGTGGCTCCCCGTCCGACCAGAAACAGACCCGAACGTACGGCGCGTCGCGTTCCGCGCGCGCCTCAAAGAGCCATCAGACCACCACGGATGGGGCCCAACAGGGCTGATACCGATTCGGAGTTGCGGAGTACCTAGGTACCTAACGGGTTTTTTTTTTTTTAAGAGGGGAAAATCATTGAATGACTGCTCCCGCCTGGGTGAGGCGGAAGGGAGTGTCAGACTCTTACTGACTAAAAAACCACCCCGTTCCTTCTCCTGCACGTCGAGCCGGAGCCCCGGTTACCCGTTAGGTTCTCTGCAACTCCGAATCGGCATCGGCCCCATCTGTGGTGGTCTGATGGCTCTTTGAGGCGCGCGCGGAACGCGACGCGCCGTACGCTCGGGTCTGTTTCTGGTCGGACGGGGAGCCACCCATGCTCGCCGTCCGCAGGCCCGCGCTTACGGTGGCCGGAGATCGTCCCGCGATCCCCGACGCCCGGTGTGTCCTTCGCGATGGCCGGGTTGCGAGGAGGCAGCGCTTCGCTGCCTCACGCGCCCCGCCTCCTCCTTAGCTAGCATTACCTAACGGGTTACCGGGGCTCCGGCTCGAAGCGCAGGAGAAGTAACTGGGTGGAGTAACTGGTTTTAGTCAGTAAGAGTTTGATACTCCCTCCCGCCTCACCCAGGCGGGAGCAGTCATTCGATGATTTTACGACCTTAAAAAAAAAACTTGGTCTGGAAAGGGCCTTTGTGGGCACAATTAGGATATCTCAAACATAATTTTTTGACGCGACATTATCATTTTCGTAGATAGGATTGCTATAGTCAAGGAGTCTAATACCTTGCAATATCTCATAATCTTGAGCTCCTATCTAAAAAATAACGAATCTCCATTACTCCCCTTAGGTAACACCCTCAACTATGTCTACATTTGTAGAAGAGGGATAGAGCAACCACGGCTCTGAAACAAATTTACAAAGTGATGTTTGTTTAGACCACTGTTATCATTTTAGTGAATATGATTACTTTAGAGCTCTTACACACGAGCCGCATGTTGCCAAGGGCAGAGGTAACTGCAGTTGTTGATGCGTCGATAACAGTCGGCACTTGGTTATGTTCTCAAGAACAAGGTCAATTTTATTTACAAATAAAATGTATTTTTATCTCAATCACAAATAATGCATAGTCGGTAATTAAGCATACTTTCTAATATCATAAAATATTCTCATAAAAGCGGCCTTTCCTCAGCAGTGGACACATAAATGATAAATAAAACAAATATTTTGCTGTTACATTTTTATTAATTTTGTCATCTTAATTAAATGAATAGCAAATTGCAAGATGGTAAATTGGTACTGCTATGCAATTGAAAGAAATAAAATAATTTAATCCTTCAGCTTCTTCTTGGGGCGCAGGTTGTTGGTGTGTCCACACTTGGTCTTGCGGCAGTTGGTAGCACGGGGGTGAAGGCGAGCATAGCACTTGCGGCAAATCATTTTGTCACAGTTGTACTTCATGGCCAAAATACGGAGGGAAGGCTCAATAGTACCTAAAAATCATTATTATTTTAAATATAACATTGTGCACAATTTTACTGTTACATCTACTAACAAGATTATGGACCTGGTGCAAAATGTTCAATAGTATATATTTCTTTTACACACTATCACTCTATGTCTTAGACCTAAAAATCATAAAGAAACTGAAGTCTTACCTCCTCTCAGCCTGAGCACCAAGTGGAGTGTGGATTCCTTTTGAATGTTGTAATCAGACAGAGTACGCCCATCTTCCAACTGTTTACCAGCGAAGATAAGACGTTGCTGGTCTGGTGGGATTCCCTCTTTATCCTGGATCTTTGCCTTCACATTTTCGATGGTGTCTGAAGCTTCCACCTCGAGGGTGATGGTTTTACCCGTGAGGGTTTTTACGAAGATCTGCATTGTAGAGCTGGAAACAAGTTATTTAGTTACTACAACATCTATTGGATTTTTTATGGCAGGTGGCCTAAACTTTTATAAAACAAATGCCAAGCGATGTCTGTACATGACACGCCACGCGGATATTTAAATTTCGAACATCAGGTCAAAGAAACACTGTATTTTATGAAGAAATAATAGTTATATCACAGTATTTGATTACATAAATAATTTTGTTTGGAAATATCACTTAATTTACGTTTTTCGAAGTTATTTCACAAGCTCACCTTTTCCTAAAAACGTGCTCAAAGTAAAAGAAATGTCAAACAAGAAAAGTAATATGGCGGATATTCTCGTTCAGAATTGATTCCATAAATTCCAATTTTTAGAAATGGAATAAATTATTCCTTTATCCCTAACCAAGAATTTTACTCAAAATGTAAAAATATAAAGAAGAATTCAATAAAACAACGTATAAAATAATGATCGATTCTTGATTTTGTAATCAAAGTTAATTTTGATGATAGATAGATGTATTTTAAGAATACCTATTTCCGAACGAAAGACAGGGTCACGTTCAGAATATACGGTTCACTACTTTTTTCCTTTTATTGTAGATTTTCTGATAATAATTATTTTGATGCTATATGAGTGAAATAAAATATCTAAAGTACTCCACATTTTATAATACCTATAAAAGTAGCATAAAATAATTAAAATTGACTATTTTATTCTCATTATCGAATAATAATGTTGACAGTGGTTATTTGACATCACATTTTATCATAGCCAAGTTTCTAAACGAATCTGATAAGTACTTGTTTCGTAATCGCTCGATTTTCAGGCACTTTGCAGGTCTAAAGTAGATTTTCTTTCGAACAAAATGTATCATCAACTTAGCCGAGTTACTGGCAGGCTTGTGGCCTCAACCCACTTGCAAACCCCACTTTTCCCCGTGGTAAGTAAGCTACGAAAACTTGGTTCCTATGAAGTTTATCTTTAGGAGGTTTACATAGATAATCTTTCTTTTCTAGGCTCCCGTTGCTTTGCAACGAGTGGATGCCCCAGCCATTCAGTACAACACCACGCACATGTCGACTGTCGCCGACGCGTGCCCAGCCCCTGGCAAGTCTAAGTTGATCCCCGGCACCAACACCCCTTACGCCCGTATGTCTGAGAAGGTCATCCAGCGACAGAAACAATTCCAGGTTTGTAACTCATAATCGGTTTCTATAATCATTGTTTATTGCATAGAAAAACACTCAAATCACTTACTCTAATTATGGTCACAGCTTTACAGCTGATGTGATCAACAGCTGCGTGTTTAAACCTCTTTTAACATATTTACATCTATATTTAAAAATAACCTAAATTAGAAATAACTTTTACTGACTGATAAGTTATTAACTCATGTACCTAATGATGTTGCATGACAAATTATGCATTATTCTAGCAGAAAATAGCATTTGGTACTACACTTCATCTTAAAGAAAACATTATGTTATTATGTAGCGAACAAGTATTTAGTCTTTGAACCTATTTATTCACTTACAAGACTGTATGTGTAATCTTAAAAAGTATTTAGGTGACACAATAATATGGTGTCAACTTTCAATAAACTAAAAGATTTTCATAAATCAAATCATCATTTATTTGTAGTTAGTCCAGGTAAATCTTGATGTGCTTACATCTCTTTAAAAATGATGATCGTTGTTTGTAATGATGACTATGTTATTGTTTATTTTATTTATTGCACACAGAAAAACCTGTATGACATTGTAATAGTTAGTAAATAATTGTTTACATTTTTTATTCAACATGGCCATGTTACTACTACTAACAAAATAGTTTGAAGTTTCTAATATGCATAATAAAAACAAAATTGTCAAGTGTTAACTAATAAATATTATTACATGATAATTCTCAATGTAGAAAGAAAACTATACTGTCCACAACTAATCATTACAATATTACTACATTATGATAAAACTTAATTCACCCTATCAAGAAGCAACTATTTTGGAAATAAATATGTGTTTGGTAAGATGTATTTGCACTGTATTTCAGAAAGAGGATGATGTCCCTGTGTTCCTGAAGGGGGGTCCCATTGATGGTATCCTGTACCGTTTGACCTTGGCTCTCTGCATTGTCGGACTTGTTGGTGTCGGCCAGACCATCTACAGCCACGCTGTACCCAAGAAGTAAATACATGAATAAATCAATTACTAAATTATGTATTAGCTGCCTGTGTTATAAGTGTCTCAGCACTGTGATTAGAAATATATAATCTAAAACAATATCTTTCTTTTCTTTCTCGGTTGTCATGAAAAGCCACAGTCCTTTCTTCATAATACGAAACCCAAATTGAATACAATAAAATTGCATGTCATAAATAGAACTAGAAAAATTATGCATGTTATATTTGAATTGAATCAATTAGTGTCAGAATCATTATAAAAAACTGAATGTCTGAAAAATCTATGTGTAAAAAACAGCAGTGTTAAATTGGGCTAATAGGAAATAAAACACAAAATTTTATATAATTCTATATTTGATATAACTGTATAACATATCAACACTGGTCTTCACCTATAACGCCGTATATTGCAAACCATACTTTGTGAATTCATGTAGCATAACATTCAAAGCACTACCTTAAAACACCAACCTACTCTATGTTTGAAAAAATATGAATAACATCCAACTTCAATAATAATTAAGATCAAGTAGACATACATAATATTTTGATCGATAGTAAATACGTAACACCTTAGTAAACTCAGTTCTTCCATGGAGCTGAAGAAGGAAAACAATCAGGTACCTAATACGAGTAGAGTTGAAAACTCGACACGCATAATAAAAATATATTTAAAAAGGATATAATATAACGTAACTAGGTAAAAAAGGGTATAAAAATAATATTTTGGAACTTTTACCATCAAACCAGTCCAGAAAAATTATCTAAACCAAACATGAAAGAAATGTTAAATTATTGAGATTTCAACATTCCTTCTCATTTGAATAAAATGCAAAACACAGCCTTTTAATATTAAAATAAATCTGGACAATGTTTTTAAATTCATATCACTTAATTTGCTTTAATAGACACACCAAGTAAGTAAACAGTTGATATATCATGACTTAAACTCTATCTAATTGCTAGGCAATATGTATATAAAAAGTATGCAGCATTGAACATTACTGGGAACTTAATGACTTGCTAAAAGTAGATAAGTACCAGTAAATGACTACTATTTAAACTTTAAATAATGTGTAGGTAGAATACGCAGGTATTTCTTTAATCAATACCTAAGTATCTAAATAGTGAACATAAAATATAAATTAACTAAAGTCATAGCGTAGATCTAGTATCCACCAGATACCTAGACCATCACCAAAGGAAATGTTTGTATGTACTTCCTATTATAATACTATGTACTTGCTACTTATTTCTATGACAGCTCTACCTATTTAAATAAAAATAAACCGAGACGATTACTGAGAATTCGATGCATAATTATTACATTTTCAGCAGTTTCTATTAAATCTTAGATGCTAGAAATAGCAACCATTGATGGATGAGTTACCTATTGGCTATAAATGTACAAGTAAATATAAACAGAGATCGACAAGATCTACACAGAAGCATTTTATAATTACGATATACCCAGTTAAACATACTCGTAGAACTTTAGATTGGCGACTGATTCGATCGAACTAAGCAAAGTACCACTACGTGAAGAGTGGGTTGTATTTGAATGCTCATATGCTGTATGTTAATTAATCTAAACACACCAGCTACTAAACATACAAACCACATAACTTCTTAACATTGGCAATAAATATTGTGTAATCGATTAGCTATAGTTCTGTACCTGTACAAAATGTGTTATGAAATCCATATAGGTACGTCAATAACGGAGTGTTGAAACTAAGACATAAATATATTCTTTTAATTTTATCAATAAAAGAAAGAAAATGTAAATACTAATAAATCACAGAGTACTTCGAAACAAAAATAGGATTAGTAGTACCAAAGTATACATTAGTTGACCTACGCCCAAATACTGAAAGGCTACTCAATTGGTTGTACTTAGGTAAATATCGTGCCACCTCTGTCATTTCACAAAGAATTTTTAGTGACAGAACTATATTTAAAATTGAGTGGCGTGAAAAGAAAAATAATCACGTACAGAAAATTTTAAATTGACATTAAGTATGCAAGTTAATCGTTACGCTGCTACGCTATTACAGATGTCGTGATAATGTTATCATTAATGTATTATTTCTATCTGTCTATAATGGTGTACATTTAAGCTACGTTATCAGCTTCTATTATCATTAGCGTAGTAAATATTCAGTGAAAAAGTACCAAGATATTACTAGAAAATAACAGTAGAGTATAACACACGTTCTTAAATCGATAATAATACTTATACATTTCTTTACAGTAAAAAGCAAGCCTGTCGAACTAGGTCAATGTATTCAGATATTGGAACCACTCCAATTGTTACCAAAGAATTTCGTTATCTTCATTCATTGATTGTGTAAAGCTGTAGATAACTACAGACTTAGGAAATATTACATACACAGGTATTGTGTACAATACAGTAACTCGACCTATGTCATATATGGCGGCGCAGGCGCTAAAGATATTTCAAAATAGAATTAATTACGGCGCCTGTTAATTAATTACATGTGCCTGGGCACCGCTAGAACTGACATCGCCCTGATTACGGTACTTTGTTAAAGTATACAAGTTTAGTAAGTATATGTATTTAACTAATACAATAATCTCATACAACACTAACGTATCGGTACGTATTGATTATATTGCACCTCACAAACACTGGTATATTAACACTACTAAAATACAATTGTTAACAGTAAATATTTTCAAAACAACATCCAAAAATTCATCATCATTAATGAACATTAAAATAAATATTAAAATTTTGTTAATATGGAACACAGGTTTTCAATCTTAAGCAAAAGCAGTATCTAAGTACCTACTTATGCTTTATTTTCAATGAACTCCTGTATAATTAAATTAAAGCCAGCAAAAACTGTAACATACAGCGATAGTGTTTTGTAGGTTTATAAAATTATGGTAAACAATTGCATTACGTAACGTAATAAATCAAATTAATTAGTTACTATTAATTAATTCAATTGGTGATCCATAATATAAACGATAATTTTAATTTGAACTGCAATTGAATTACAGTTTCCGAAACAAAATAGTAAAAATACAATTTAACTGATGGATTAAACAATTTTTACAGACTTTTACAGATTAGGGACGTATAAATAAAGGAAGGTAACACAAAATAAACAATAGTGTACATTGGCTTGTAGGTACACATTATTCCTACATTACACGACGTTATTACGATGGTCGAGGTCGCGCTGGCAGCGGTGGCGGTGCACCCTGTCTAGCGGGAACAGGTGGCGGCGGCCCGGCTGGAGGAGGCGTGCTACTCTCCGGAGGGGGCGGTGGCGCACACGTGGGGGGCGGCACGCTGTCTGCTGGGGGCGACGCGATCGGAGGCTGTGCTGTAACCTTACCTGCGTCAGGCGTAAGGGGAGCTGGACGTGGGGGAGGTGGTCGCGCTGGACTGATTGCAGGCGCTCTGGACGGCACCAGGGGAGTTGGCGATGGTGCCGGTGGTCTACTTGGCTGCTGCCTCCTAGGTGTAGGCGGTGCTGATCTAAGAGGCCTCTCTGGTTGTGCTTCGCCCGACAAAGGTACCGTATTGTTGGAACATAAATTTATTTCGGCTCTCACGATATCAATCCAGTTAGGGGTTTTTAAACTTATTTGTAATGGGATAGAACAAGCATATATCTGTCCCTTCTGTGCAGCTGCCAAAGCATTTTGCCCTTCTCTAAAAGTAATACTTAGAGCAGCGTCATCAATGAACCGAACTAATGTTACTTCACCGATAGTAGACAATTCCTGCAAAACAGCTGCCACGACGTTGTCATCAAAGGGGACTCCTCACTATTATATTCTTCAAATGGCTGCACGATTATGCTAGCATCCGGAGGTCCAAGGTCCTTTACTACCTCATAAAATACTTCCATGCATTTCGTATAACTAACCTGCAAAACTTCAATTTCTAAAATTGCGATGACTGGTCGATGATCGCTTTGTTTGAGTTCTGCGCGGCCATAATGAAGCAATTTTCCAGCAGCTAACTCCGAGGTGCCTTCTGGGTCAATCGTATATTTCCTGCTTCTCCACAATACTCGATCGGTCCAAGCAGGTGCTCTACATTTTTCACTCGTATCGTAGTCGTCGCTAAATAAGTCATATTTATATGTTGGTGGGAAAGTTATTTCTCCCTCAAAACAATTTTTGAACACTAAACCTTGGTCTTTTTGTTGTAATAGTTGGTCGTGATCTAAAATTCGTTGCAAATTGTTTTGTGACACTAACAAACGTATTTCATCTTTATCTAGGTCAACTCGATAATTAAAATCACCACACCAGAACACATAATCATGTGAGTATAGTGATCGACCCATTGGGAAGGCAGTTTTTCGTGTTATCTCAGTGTAATCAGCATTACGCTCTGTTACCTGAGACTGGCCAGCGGCGAAATGAGCACAAACAAAACATAGTGAGGTCCCATAGAGGACCATACGAATACCAACAGATCCTTTGTTTCCAGTAGTCCCACCAAGACCAGTTTTTACTGAATCAAGGGCAACATCCCTGATATGTGGAATCAGATCTTTCCGCACAAATATGAAAAGACATACGCCTACCAACTGATGACTTGATAGTAAAGTATATGGAGCATCCCTGCAAAGTACTTTTTCCAATTCTTCACTCCATGCTCTAGCATTGTCAGAACTAGCTGCCATAATGTTGCTAGCATTCAAGTCCACAATTTCTTCAAAGCCAATAGCAAATATATCTGATGGATGTTCCTTTAAATTGACAGTGTTCACCAAAGCTGAATTAGGGCAATCTAGTAACCAATCAGCCAATGAAACATCTTTGTATGCCAGACTTCTGAAATGTTTTCCTCCATTTACATTGTATGTACCAATTGTGATTCGTATAGGAGTTGGCTGTGTAAACTCATTTGCTCTGCGGCACATTTCTCTGAGCACTGGAGTTGATGTGTGCAATAAGTTTGATGGTAATAGTATTCTTGAACGATCAGCAAGTTCAGAGTTCAAAGTAGATCCTAAAAGTAAAATGTCTATAGCCTCTTGCTTGGAGTTGTCTAGTAAATTATTTTGAATAGTACGAGCTGCAGACCTCGCTCCATCAATTAGTTTAGAGCCTCCTTGAATGGCACCAGTGCCAGCATATATTTTGGATATTTCATTGCCATTATTGACCCACATTTGTTTAAAAACTTCCTCAAACCTGTTGACATTTTGTTTTTTGTCAATGCATTGCAGAAGCATCAACTGAATTGCCAACATTTCTAATCCAACAAATGTTTGTATAGAATTGGTTCTGTCCAAGCAATCTAAGCAATTGGTTCTTATCACTCCTTTTTGAATATTGTAGATGTCCGAACTTTTAGCACTAAAAATACTTATGTCATCATAATGCTTTTCAATGATTTTCCTAAATTTAGATAATGCCGTTTCTATAGAAGAGGCTCTGACTTCTTGGTGATAGTCAAAGATAATTTGAACTACGTCATTGTGAGCAGAGTCATTCAAATGTTTCTGAAATGCATTGCTCAGTGTAGCTTCTCCTTCACTGCCTCCAATCAGACTAGACCCCAATAGGTTTACAACTATTAAAGAGCCATAGTTACGCTTCAATTGAGAGAAATGTCTATCACATGCACTGGTAGATGCATCATATCCTCTGGACATCTTCACTTTGTGAGATCCTACTTGGATACCAGGTTGTTCCCAAAATAGAGGCACTGAGCCTCTAGTCTGAATATAAGAAGCTACTGAATCATCAATATAAATAGCTTGTTCTGTTTCCACAAAATTGGCAACATTGCCATCATCATTGCAACCTCTAACATTGAATCTTGTTCCAGCACGCTCACAACTGAGACGGGAGACCAGCACTGCTCTTGCTTGTCTGTGACCAACATATATGGTTCTGATTTCTACTGAACCACACATAGCTCTAGTCAGCCACTCCTCACAGTCAATTCCATATCTTATTAAATGTATAAACAAAGTTCTGTTCCAAAAGAACCTGTTATCTGGACTGGCTCCCTTACTTTTGCGTTGAGCACATAATGTGAGATCAAAAAGATTAGGAGTTTTACCTGAATTCCAGGAAAAATAAAAAGTTCCAGAGTTTACTAACTTCCTGACTTCCGACACTTTGTCCTCTCCTTGTGTTTGATAAAATAGTGGCAGAAATTGTGTCTGGGTAATTTTAAATACCTCAACATCTCCAATCTTACCGATTGAGCAACATCCCGTTACAAGAACCAGGTACAGCAAACAATTCTCGCCAGAATTCAATTGCAGGACACCTAGCACTCCATAGGCGTCTGCAATTTTATGATACTGTTTTCGCAATGTCTCTGTTTCTTGAGATGACAGCGAGACCACAGCTTGAGACTCGAAGAGAAGCGCTGAGTCTTTATTTCGATGTTGTAAGATTATACTGTACGGGTTTGGCGGAGCGGATTTCTCTAAGACCTTAAATCCCTTTGACATAGCCATGATTGCAAGAGAGTGCTAGTCACTTACATGTATACGACAGCCATCCGCCCCCTATTTCAGCTTCACTTTAGCATTTACACAACAATCGACCAAGAAAAATCTAATGAGAATAGTAGGATTTCTATCAATCTCGAAGCAAACCAGAAATGTCAAATACGTCAAAACTGTCAAACCGTAAAATAGAATAGAAACCGTATAGAAACCACAGACCTACTATAATATATTATAGTAGGTCTGTGATAGAAACCTACTTTTAAGTATGGACTTATACTCTTTGGTATGGACTTCCCGCAAGGATTTGCAGAAAAACTAAAATTATTGAATTCTACCCAGTGTATGTATGTAGGTACATAAAATATATTTATATCAATGACATAAATGCTGAATCATAAAAAATATACCAAACCATACCAATCGAACAAAAATACCTAGAATATTTATTTATTTAATATGAAACTAATGTTGCCAACTTTACTATAAAGACAAGTTTACAATCACTGTTTCTAGATTAAGATTATATAAACAAATAGACCTTCTTGCATATTATATTTTTTTACGAACATGCACACATGCACACGGCTCTCGATCGTAAATCTTATTTATACATGTGTGAAAATGTCTTCGAAGAAACCTTACCCGTACCAGATAACGGAAATCATTCATCAAATTAGTTTATATTTTTTTACTTGCTTATCAATACGTTGTTACCTAATTCCTTTGGTACGTTTACTGACTCAATCAGACTCTAAAAAACTGTTTTTTATTTACACAAGTCGAACCACAACGAAGTGCACAGCAGCTAATCGGCGAAGTCGAAGAAGCACTTCGCTAACCCTAAATTGAAATAATGTACTCCTACTAAGAACTCAATATTTATTAATATAACTTACGTCAAACGGCAGTTGTTTTAAGTTTTCTGCATGCATATTGGCTGATGTGGGTAGAGAAAGGTTCAGGTTCATCTTCGTCTGATTGTTACATATTGGACATATATTACGTGCACCCAAGAGCGCACTCTTCCAGTCATTTTAACGGTGCCCTGTCAATATAAATATGAAAATTTATGTAAAGAAAAATAGGCAATTGTTTGAAAAAAGAAGCGATGGACACAATTTTAATACTAGAGGCAAAAATAAATTAGCTATACCGCAATTCAGACTGTATAAGGTACAGAAATCCTTTATGGATGTAGCATGTAGGTATTAAATGCTATAATAAAATACCAAATAGCATACTAGATCTCATTCAATGAAGGTAAATTTAAAATATATATTAAGGACGAATTATGTAATCAAGCTTACTGCACACTAACAGATTATCTTGAAAATAAGAATGATTGGCAGCATGTTTGTTCGGCTTCATTGGACAATACTCAAATGTAGTCAGTAGTTAGATTCCAATAGTACGTCGTAATTTAATACTTTCATTATTGTAGACAATCTAGTTTTCTTAAGGCATCGAGCATTTCTTTCTTTATTGAAACAAAGAGTTTCCTTTTTCTTGTAGAAGCACTATTTTTATGGATTGTCTGTATGCATAATATGTAAGCACCATGTTAGACTATAAGATTTTTGTTTTGTTTTTAATTTTAGTAAGTTTTGTAATTAGAATAATGCGTCAAGCGTGTCTTTGCATTGTTCCTTATCATATCAGTGCATTTTTCTCACAAGTCACATTTATACGTACAGTATTGGAATATGTACCAAAGACATTGTAGAACATACTTTTTTAAAAGAGTGACGAATGGAGTTTCTTGCCCGTTCTTCTCCATTCGAATCTACATTTTGGAATGAGCACCTAGCTTCACCTAGCTTCACTGACGGACTGACTGACAGACTATTATTTATTTTTTATTTGTTGACGTTTCAAAAGTACCAAATTATAGTTCAACTGAAATAAATGCTTTGACTTTGACTTTAAATTTGGTTTTCACACTAACAGAAAACTGCGAATGGTGTAAAAAGAATAAAAAAAAATGGTTACTAATATTATAAATCGGAAAGTGAGTTTGTTTGTTTGTTCCGCTTTCAGTCGTAACTACTAAACCGATTAATTTGTTTTTTGGTTCCTACCATATTACATTAAATTGTGTATTTTATAGATTTTAGGTTGTTAAAGGAACCTATTCGATGCATTTTTCGACTCCCTTAATTGCTGTTTTATAAGTCAACGAATTACTAATGGTATCTTTGTAATAAACGCTACCTATCGATAGATGGCGCTGGGTGTTTTAAAACTTTGTAACGTTGTGTTTTTTAAGTATTTTTCGCTTTTAAATTTTGGTTCCTACCATATTACATTAAATTGTGTATTTTATAGATTTTAGGTTGTTAAAGGAACCTATTCGATGCATTTTTCGAATCCCTTAATTGCTGTTTTATAAGTCAACGAATTACTAATGGTATCTTTGTTATAAACGCTACCTATCGATAGATGGCGGTGGGTGTTTTAAAACTGTAACGTTGTGTTTTTTAAGTATTTTTCGCTTTTAAATTTTGGTTCCTACCATATTACATTAAATTGTGTATTTTATAGATTTTAGGTTGTTAAAGGAGCCTATTCGATGCATTTTTCGACTTCCTTAATTGCTGTTTTATAAGTCAACGAATTACTAATGGTATCTTTGTAATAAACGCTACCTATCGATAGATGGCGCTGGGTGTTTTAAAACTTTGTAACGTTGTGTTTTTTAAGTATTTTTCGCTTTTAAATTTTGGTTCCTACCATTTTACATTAAATTGTGTATTTTATAGATTTTTGGTTGTTAAAGGAACCTATTTGGTGCAGTTTTCGACTCCTTTATCTGCTGTGTTATAAGTCAACTAATTACTAATGGTACTATGTAATAAACGCTACCTAGCGGTAGATGGCGCTGGGTGTTTTAAAACTTTGTAACGTTGTGTTTTTTAAGTATTTTTCGCTTTTAAATTTTGGTTCCTACCATATTACATTAAATTGTGTATTTTATAGATTTTAGGTTGTTAAAGGAACCTATTCGATGCATTTTTTTCGACTCCCTTAATTGCTGTTTTATAAGTCAACGAATTACTAATGGTATCTTTGTTATAAACGCTACCTATCGATAGATGGCGGTGGGTGTTTTAAAACTGTAACGTTGTGTTTTTTAAGTATTTTTCGCTTTTAAATTTTGGTTCCTACCATATTACATTAAATTGTGTATTTTATAGATTTTAGGTTGTTAAAGGAACCTATTCGATGCATTTTTCGACTTCCTTAATTGCTGTTTTATAAGTCAACGAATTACTAATGGTATCTTTGTAATAAACGCTACCTATCGATAGATGGCGCTGGGTGTTTTAAAACTTTGTAACGTTGTGTTTTTTAAGTATTTTTCGCTTTTAAATTTTGGTTCCTACCATTTTACATTAAATTGTGTATTTTATAGATTTTTGGTTGTTAAAGATACCTATTCGGTGCACTCTTCAACTCATTTATTTGCTGTTTTTAAGTCAACAAATTACTAATGGTACTATGTAATAAACGCTACCTAGCGGTAGATGGCGCTGGGTGTTTTAAAACTTTGTAACGTTGTGTTTTTAAGTATTTTTCGCTTTTTAATTTTGGTTCCTACCATTTTATATTAAATTGTGTATTTGATAGATTTTTGGTTGTTAAAGATACCTATTCGGTGCACTCTTCAACTCATTTATTTGCTGTTTTTAAGTCAACAAATTACTTATTGGTATCTATGTAGTTACGCTACTAAGCGATAGATGACACTGGCTGTTTTTAAAACTCGGTAACTGTGTTTTTTTAAGTATTTTTCGCTTTTTAACTTTGGTTCCTATCATTTTACATTAAATTGTGTATTTTATAGATTTTAGGTTGTTAAAGGTACCTGTTCGGTGCACTCTTCAATTCATTTATTTGCTGTTTTAAAGTCGACAAATTACTTCTTGGTATCTATGTAGTTACGCTACTAAGCGATAGATGACGCTGGCTGTTTTTTAAACTCGGTAACTGTGATTTTCAAGTATTTTTCGCTTTTAAATATTGGTTACTACCATTTTTGAATAAATTGTGTATTTTATAGATTTTTGGTTGTTAAAGGTATCTATTCGGTGCAGTTTTCTACTCCCTTATTTGCTGTTTTATAAGTCAACGAATTACTAATGGTATCTATGTAATAAACGCTACCTAGCGATAGATGGCGCTGGGTGTTTTAAATACTATGTAATGTAGTGTTTTTAAGTATTTTTCGCTTTTTAACTTTGGATCCTACCATTTTAGAATAAATTGTGTATTTTATAGATTTTTGGTTGTTAAAGGTACCTATTCGGTGCAGTTTTCGACTCCTTTATTTGCTGTATTATAAGTCAACGAAATATTAGTTGGTATCTATATAGTAGTTACGCTACTTAGCAATAGATGGCGCATGGGGTTTTTGTAATTTGGTATGAAGGTAGTTTGGGTCCTGGAAAAACAAGGCTTTACCGCGGCAGAGCTTCTCATTCCCACGGAAAATTTAAAAAGCGCGATATATCCGAATTAAAGGAAAGCTGTTTGTTTGCATGTCTTAAAAGGCAAAACGGTATTAACGTGATTTTTTAACTGAAGGTAGTTGAAGGGTAGGATAGTCACATAGGCTACTTTTTATCCTTTTGTGACGCGAGCGAAGCCGCGGGTAAAATCTAGTGTGAAATAAAGTATATACAATTTAGATAACATTTCAACCTTGTCTTTTTATTATTATTATTAAACATTAAGACTATTTAGGTATATAATCAATATTGGATTAGTGTAAAACTAATGCTACTTTGAAAATAATAACAGTTAAATTACATGTATAAATTACAAAAAACACTAAAGTTATAGACTAAAGTTAACATATTTCTGGTAACATGTCATAGAATTTATATTGACTTTAACGTCACCGGAACCTCTTTGGACATATTCGCGATATATTTCGCGTGATGCTTTGGACACGGTCGGCGGAATAACGTCTACAGAACTGTCGATAGTAAACGCACTATTGACGG